TGGAGGGATGGACACTGGGAAGAGGTAACTATGGGGAGGAAGTGGGAGGGGAGCTGTTGCATTGTGGTAAACTGTGGTTAATGTCATGAGACAAAGTGTATGTGAACTGCTGTATGGAAAGTGAATCTGCTCTGTAAATCTTCACCCAAATCACACACAAAAAAAAAACAAAAAACTGCCAAAGGCTGGGAGCTGCTTCCCACTCAATAAGAGGCAGTGCCCTGCAAAAAACAATCCTGGAAACAGAAACTATCATTTTATAATAATAAACCACTGCATTTTTTTTTGTTTAAGCGTAGTATTTGCCAAGGGATAAAGCTCAGAAGACAGGAAGGGACAGGAAAGAAGGATGAAGGGAAATAGTAAATACAGGAAAGAAGTGGGAAGAGTGTTGTTACATTGTGGGAACTGCAATCAACGTCACAAATCAAAATGTGTATGAACTGTTGAATGGAAAACCAATTTGCTCTGTAAATGTTCACACAAATCACAATAAAATGTTAAAAAGAAGAGAGAGAGAGACAGACAGAGAGAGAAAAGAAGATACTAGAGGCAAATCCACCAACACTCAACTTGAAAGCCACAGAGCTTAAAGATGGAAGAAACCTTAGAGTCATCTAATCTGACGCCTCCCTTATACAGCCCAGATTTATTGATCGAAGCTATGGGGCCGAGCCAAGATCAGATTCCCCTCACCAACAACTTTTCAGGCCAGTGATCTTCCCACCACTCTCCAGCCTTCCCCAAATACTGACCCTGATGCCCTGAGGCCCATGGAGCATGGAATACCCTCTGGAACACCATGGACTCTCCTGATGATTCCACTGACCACCTGCATGAGCCACTCCAGCAAGACCTACCTTGTGCGAATAATGCTGGTCAACGATCCTTGCCAAGCCGAAATCCCCAATCTTGAGCACTAGGTCCTCAGTGCTGATGAAGATGTTGGCGGGCTTCAGGTCCCTGTGCAGCACGTTGGCAGAGTGGATGTACTTGAGCCCGCGCAGCAGCTGATACATGAACAGCTTTGCGTGCTCCTCTGTCAGGGTGCCCTGCTCCAGCAGGCGGGCCAGGTCTGTCTCCATGTACTCCTGGACGATGTAGGCCACACTGGACTTGAACAGTTCACCCTGCAGGTCAGTGCCTTTGGGTCCCAGCACCTCATGCACCTTCACGATGTTGTCATGGTCCAGGCGCCGGATTATCTTGATCTCCCGGAGCGCGTGTTTCATGCTACGGGCGTCACTCAGGGCGATCTTCTTCACGGCCACCTTCCGGCAGGCCTGGCTGTCCACGGCTGACAGTACCAGCCCATTGACGCCGAAGCCCAGGGGTTGGAAGTCAATGAAGCGCCCGCCGAGGTCATACCCATAGACACTGGCGATGCAGTCACCCTTCTCAGCCATTGTTGGCTCAGTGGTCTGGGGCTGCCTGCACGGTAAAGGAGCAGTCAGGAAAGACCAGGTCCCAGCTGGTGGCTTGCCCAGCACAGCTCATTCTGTCAAGTCCCAAAGTGGAGGGATGCTGTTTCTCCTGGTAATGTCACTGCCACCAGCTCTCTGGGGACAAGAAGGGCATATGTCCATGCTGGCTGAGCTGCAGAAGCTGGAGGCTCAGACTGTTTCCTTAACCTGCTTTGGGAGGGCTGCCCACTATCTCCTATACATCCTGAACAATCCTCACAGCTCAGAAGGGCTCATGCTTCTTTCAAATAGAGCATCTTCAGAGGAAAAATAAGGGTCAGTATCTAGAGGAATATAAAGTTTTCTCTACCACAATGGAGCTCAAAGTAAAAGATGCAAAAACTCTGATCTTTCAATCCTCTGAGGTCCCCTTTGGCTGAAATGCAGGAGTTGTTCGCTGAACTGTGTTCCTTCAACCTCAAGATGGTCCAAAGCTCAGTTGTACCACAGCCTTCAGCTGCCTGGTAGTCTCTCTCTGTGTCCTGAGTAGCACAAAGGGATCCTGTTCATCAATTCAGGAGGCTTCTAGGACTTCTTTCTACTTCTGCCAGTTCCCCTTACTACCAGCTCCCCTTAGATTCCAAAAGCCAAGCTGGTCTAGTGAGCATGGGTGAAGAAACCTGCAGGAACCCAAGCACCTTCATGAGTTCTATGCCAAGTCGCACCTGAAGTTCCAATCCAAGAGATCTCAGTGGTCAGCCCAGGATCCTCCAGAGGGGTCAGACACAGGCAGCATCTTCTCCCACTCCCTCATCTGTGCCATCTGGAATGAGACCAGGTTCCACTGGGTCCAAAGCACAGCATCTTTCAGACCAAGCCTCCTTCCCTGTCAACGAAATAATGTTGGGTAAATTTCCACACTCTGGCTTCCAACAACTTCCCACTTGCATGTCTTTTGTTAACCAGCCCAAGTGTTATTCGATCTGTCCAGCCAGCTGAAACACTGCTTGCTCAGGGGATTCCAGGCTTGGCACTGCCCAACCACCCTCTTGCTGAGTGCGGTGCTCCCCTGCAAGAAGAGAGAAGAAGGACTGATTTGATAAGACCTGCAAGTGGTGCACCTTCATGTGAATGCCTGCTGCTCTAAGGTGAATGTGTGCAAATGGTGGATAGGAATTACCAGCTCTGACCTTTGCAAAATTCATCTGTTATGCTCTCCAAACACACACATCAGCACTAGCTAGGAAGAAAAGAAAAGGATCAATCACCCTCCTTTTCATGTGGGCCCCTTTTCTTCCTTCTTTTTGCAAATGTCTTTGAATATTTTGAGAAAGAATTTGCCACGGAATAAGATTTAATTACACTTGTATTTCTCCCTTTGCACGTAGGTGGCATAAACACACATGCCAACCGAATCACAAGGGAATTATATTAAAAAAAAAAAAAAAACACCCAAACTTACTGCCATTGAGTTGGATCCAATTCATAGCAACCGCTCCTTGGGTTTCCAAGGCGGTATCACTACGGAAGTAGACTGCCCAATTTTCCTTCTGAGGAGTGACTGGTGGGTTTGAACTGCCAGCCTTCAGGTTAGCAGTCAAGTGCCTTAGGCACTAAGCCACCAGACCTGCCACCCATAAAAAAGGGACTCTGCCCAGCAATAGACTTCCAGTGCTACCCCAGGATGGGTGTGGTGAGCTATACTCTGATAGGACCCAAGTCTTGAAAACAGTGGGTCCAATCAAAGCCTGATTCCCCTTGATGGATGTTGACTCAAATGACAGGTATAGAGCCCATATAAAACAAAAAAACCAAACACGCTGCTGTCGAGACAGTTCTGACTCACAGCAACCCCTCCTTGGGTTTCCAAGGCAGTATCTCTACAGAAGTAGATGGCCCACTCTTCCTTCTGAGGAGTGGTTGGTGAGTTTGAAGCCCAGCCTTCTGGTTAGCAGTCAAATGCCTTAGGCACTATGCCAGTAGAACTCCTAGAGGACCCACATGGGGAGAATAAAATGGCAAAACTAGCAACATACATTCAGATCTCTGAAGTAAAGGCAGTATCATGGCTTCTAAGAGAGTGGTGAGTTTTCTAAGTTCATTAAGTCCACAGATACACAGAGAAATAACCCAGCATTCGGGACAAAGGAAGGAGTCTGGCCAGGGTTGCCTCTTAATTCTCATAATACTGCAGGGGCCTCAGGAGGGACACTTTCAGATCTGAACTCTGCACAACTGTGCAAATGAGAAATGAAGCAAAACAACAGTCAGCTCAATGCTGTAAATTAAGGTGGCAACGTAGAGGACACAGGTGATCTGAAATAGATGCCCTCTAAAGACTCCTAAGGAAAGAAATTTGCCAAGGGTCCAGAACATAGCAATTACTCAACAGATGTTACCTGCTTTTGTTGTTAAAAAGTCCCTTACATTTTAGTAAGATGTGCCTAAAATTCAATGAACTGTCAAATTTTCAGCAATTCTCTTCCATGTTTTCATTAGGCTCAGCCACAAAATGATCATAGACTTATAGAACTCCATATTGGAAAGCAATCTTAGAGGTCAAGTGGTCCTTAACTGGAGATGGTACTGCCCTCCTTGCCTCATTGGATTAAGGGTCACTACTGGTCTTTAATAGGAGCTCTGGTGGCATAGTGCCTAAGGCATATGACTGCTAATCAGAAGGCTGGAAGTTCAAACTCACCAGCCACTCCTCAGAAGGAAGGTTGGGCAATCTACTTCTGTACTGATGCTGCCTTGGTAACCCAAAGAGGGGTCGCTATGAGTTGGATCTCACTCCACAGCAGTGGTTGCACTGAGTTTTTGTTGTGTACTGGCCTTTAATGAGTAGGGCCAGGTTTGCAACCATCCAGCCTTGAATCCTCATTAGTAAATAACAGACCCAACCTGTTACGGAATAAAGTGTGTCCTCTCCACAATATGTGTTGGAATCCTAACCCCTCTAGCTATAATCCTGCTTGGAAATAGGGTTTTCTTTGTTATGTTAATTAGATCATATTCTAGCTGGGTGGGTTCTAAATCTAATCACTTCTTAGTTATCAACACAGCAGATTACACACAGAGATATGCACACAGGGAAAGACAGATACCATGTGAAGATCACCAAGAAACCAAAGGACAGCCGAGACAAGGAAGGAATCGACATGGCCAAGACCTTGACTTGTTCTTTTAGCCTCTAGAACCATGAGAAAATAAATTTATTTTCTTTAAAGTCACCCCGTTGTGTCATTTCTGTCATAGCAGCACTAGATGACAAAGACACAGCCCAAATGCCAACAGCACCTCCACTAAGAAACACTGATTCTGGTCCAGCCTCTCACTTTGTGGATGAGGACCCTGAGGCTCAGAGAGCTTTCAGCATAGATGGTGTCAATGAGTATGTGATGGAAGAATAAATGAGGATGCCCAACCAGTCAGAGATGGCAATGGGCCATCCACTGAGCCACAGTCAAGTCCCGTGCTAGTGCAGGCCACCAAATACCTGACTCAGGGGAACAAGAGCTGCCCCAGGTCCCCCTTCCATTCTTCCTCTAACTCCCACAGCCAAAGTCAGGAGAAGCAATGACACATTTTGCTTTATGAGGAGAGATGCTTAAACCTCCTTCCCTTTCCAGCTCTGGGTTGTAAACAAAAAGGAATGAGCACCTAATTACAAGAGGGGACGACATCACGATCAAGCTGTAAGCAGAATTTGCTGGAAATAAGCTGCAATGCAGACAATCTGTGAATAATTAAGAAGTGATTTATTTATTTTTAAAATGCTTTCCTTTTCCTCTCATGGGGGAGGGACTGTCTCCCTTGGTGTGTGAATGTGTTTCTGTGTGTCTGTCTATGTCAGTGGCCTTCTCAACACACTTTTAGCTTTAGTGAGCAGGAGCCATGACACCTTGGAGGGCTCGATTCCAGCCACTCTACCTTCTTTAGGGACTTTGAAATATTCTTTTTAAATTCCTGTCTTGCTTCTTTACTGACACCTTCCCACTTCCTGAAATGTCCATGTTTCCTTGACACTTGTGGAAATCCTGCTGTCACCCAGAATCTAGATGAAGGCTCACCTCCTCTCTCAATATCCCTGACCATCCCAGTCCTTGGCAACACCTCTCCATTTCCTAAACTCTTGCAGCATTCATGTGCATACTTTATTTGGTATTTACTATATACTAACAAAGGGGTTCTGGTGGCATAGTGGGTAAGGCACTTGGCTGCTAACTAGAAGGCTGGTGGTTCAAACCCACCAGCTGCTCCACAGGAGGAAAATGAGGCAATCTACTTCTGTAAAGATTTACAGCCTTAGAAACCCAATGGGGGTTGCTATGAGTTGGAATCGACTCGATGGCAGTGGGTTTTGGATTTTTTATATACTAACTGTTATGGGATGAATTGTGTCCCCCAAAATATGTATTGTAAATTCTAACCGCGATGCCTCTGTGGTTATAATGCTAGTTGGGAATGGGTTGTCTTTGTTATATTAATGAGACAAGATTAGTGTAGGGTATGTCTTAAGTCAATTTCTCTTGAGATATAGAAGAGGTTAAACAAGCAAATGACAGATGCAGAGATGGGGTTAAGATAGATGCCAAGACACACGGAGATCTCCAAGGAACCCAGAAGCAGAAGCTGAAAAGCCAAGGACCTTCCTCCAGATCAGACAGAGACAGAAAGCCTTTTCCTAGAGCTGGCACTCTGAATTCGGACTTCTAGCCTTCTAACTGTGAGAAAATAAATTTGTTTGTTAAAGCCACTCACTTGCAGAATTTATGTTCTTAGAGAACTAAGATACTAACCTAGGCTTTTATCTTTATGCAGCAGGTCCAGTTTCCAACTAGACTTCAAGCTCCTCAAGTCCAGAGCACAAAGGAAGTGCTTAGACAATAACTGTGGATAGCAAGTACTTGAGTTACATTTGGAGTCCTTCCTGGGTGGTGCCAATAGTTAACATGCTCAGCTGCTGACCAGAAGGCTGGGGGTTCGAGTCCACCCAAGGC